TGGAAGGCTGAGTCAACCTTGAGCCAGTGAGATTTGAATCGCTGAACTGCAGATAACAGTCAGCTGAAGTGGCCTGCAGTACTGCACCCTAACCACTGTGCCACCTCGGCAGAATTTATGACAGATCTAACTATTTCCAGTGCCCTGATCACCCCTGTTGCTTTCTCTGACAAGGAGAGCTCTGCAAGTAATGTTTATATGAGGCATTTGCTGACTAAAGTAGCCTTAAACACTGGAAGGAAAAGATACCCAATATCAACAATACAATTGAGAATGCTATAACATTGAGAAGTGGTTGATGGCACCTTATTGTCATATCCCATGATCTTGCTTCATGGTTTACCACAGTAGTCTCAACCTTTTCTTCGCTACGGATGCCCTTTGAATACTTTTGGTGGCCATGAACCATGACCATAGACCACCAGGACTTAACTCAAGATTTAAATCATAACGTTTCTTCAAGACTTCGCAGACTCCACTGTGATGACATCACATCTCTCCAGGGTTCATGGACCACAGGTTGAGAACCACTGGTTTACCAGATTTCTGCCCTGCCCTGAGTTGCCAGCTTCTCACAGTGGACCTTTCCTATAATAGCCATTTGGGCACCCAGTATACCCAAAAGTCAGAGCTGGCATTTGCATATAGTTCAGCAGATTCATGGTAGAAATCTTTCCGTGACAGAGTAATTCTGACCTGGTTGCTTTGGATAAGGTTTAATTTTAATACAGGTGGTCTTTGACTTACAATAGTTCATTTAGTGACTGTTCAAATCTACGACGGCATTGGAAAAAAGTGACTTATGAACATTTTTCATACTTATGATGATTGTACCATCCCCATAGTCACATGATTTACATTCGAATACTTGACAAATGTCTCACATTTATGATGGTTGCAGTGTCCCGGTGTCACCTGATCCCCTTTTGCGACATTCTGATAAGCAAAGTCAATGGAGAAACCAGATTCACTTAACAACCATGTTTCTCATTTAAGAACTGCAGTGATTCACTTAACAAATGTGGCTAGAAAAATCGTAAAATGGGGCAAAACTCACTGAACAAATTTTGGGCTCAATTGTGGTTGTAAGTTGAGGACTACCTGTATCCGATGCTTCATCACCTCTTGTGGAGGAACTCTCCTGCTTGAACCTATATCGTTCAGAAATGAATATTGCAATAAACACAGCATTCAGAAGGACTCCGTTCTGGGCATTAAAATTTAGTGAAGTCCTTGATTGGCTTATGACTTGTCACCTTTTCTTGCTTTGCATGCCATGATGAAATGCTAATCTTAAGGCTAATACTCAGGTGTGGAATTCAAAAATTTTAGCAACCAATTCTCTGCCTGGTTGCTGGGTGGGCGTGGCCATGGTGGGCGTGGCCTACTCAGCCTCCTGCACCACAGCCGGGAGGGGGTGTTTTCGCCCTCCCCAGGCTCCAGAGGATTTCTTTGAGCCTCTGGGAGGGAGAAAATGGCTTCCCCTGGCTCCTGAGGCCCTCCGGAGGCCAGAAACGGGCCTGTTTCTGGACTTCCAGAACTTCCGGTAGGCCCGTTTTTCGCCCTCCCAGAGTTTCCACGCGGGCCCTGCACTTATCTGGCATCCAAAATAAGCCACGTGGAGACTCCTGGGGGGGGAGGGGTGAGAGGGGCCAGCCACTTCTTGCAACTACCAATTCGATGAACCAGATGTAAAATTAGCATCTGGTTCGCCCAAATGGGTCCAAACCGGCTGAATCCCACTCCTGCTAATACTACATTTTAGGCGATATAGGGAATAAAATCTATTCTAAGGCTTCTGTTCTAGCCTGGTTGCATGGCTGTTATGATGACAGTCTCTTAGCTATTTCTAAGTTAATTGGCTGTCATGGACATCTCAGTGTGATAGCCAAGGGTTCCTCTGGAGGATAAAGGGGAGATTTGTGGAATGTTCTTCAAAACCCTCCCCTCATTTTACTCATCATTTACAAGAAGAAATCCAGTGCAGGCAAAGCCAAGGAATATGAAATAGTTCTGCTCTGCTCCCTCAGTTTCTGCAAGATAACCTGTCAAAATCATATGCTCAGCCTTTACACTTGACACTACTTTATATTATTACCATGTCACAAGGATTACTAGAGTAGTCTAGTGTCTACTGAGAAGTAGCACATCATTTCCTTCTCTGGAAGAACAGTATAAGAATATATTCTATTTTTTCTTTCTTGGACCAGGTATTTATCCAAGACTGGTCCTGCAATTTGAGCTCAAGAGAAATATCCTTTATTTTATTCTGGAGACTTATGTGCCAAGCAGTCTGCTTGTCATTTTGTCTTGGGTTTCTTTCTGGATCACCCTGGATTCAGTTCCTGCACGAACGTGTATTGGTGAGTGACATGAAAAAGACACACTTGTTTTATGGATGCAAAGTGACTGAGGAAAACTTTGCTTAGATAAAAACACGGATTATGTTAAATGTAAGAATTAAAACGTTACACTACTAAAATGAACTAAATGAATAGCCACCACAATTTCACATTGGAAAGTTTGCATTTAAAAAAAAAATTGGATGGAAAGTTGTAGATGTATTTATTATTTGACTTTGTATCTAGAATGTAAAAAATGATAGATATTGTATGATGATTATTTTGATTTTGGCATGGTTTAGATGTAGAATCTCATAAGCTTATCCAACATCATGACAGAGTATCTAAAAAAGCAGTATTGGATAAAAAAATATAAAATGAAAATTTTAAAATATTGCACGTCAGCCTTGAAGCAACCTCAAAACATGGAATATTATGTATTTATATTTTACACTGTCTTCTAGAGATGCTCAAGTGTTTTGGAAATTCACCAGATATTTCTCAAGCAGAGGATTAGTAATAGTGGGTCAACTCTAAAGATTTTGAATTTCACAAAAGATGTGTTGCCCATCACTACATGATTGCTCACCATTAATGTTTTCATTAATATAAAGAAAATAATGTTCTAGGATATCCTTTTCCTTCATATAAGAGTAAGATTCCAAGACCCTTTGCATTAAATTTAAAAACAAGTTGAATGTTCCTTGAAGGCTAGATGGTAGAAGGACTTACTGAAGATGGATAAAAAGATGGAAAGATAGAAAGATGATAGAAAGATGAAAAAAGAAAGAGAGAGAGAGAGAGAGGAAAGAAAGAAAGAAAAGAAAGAAAGAAAATATATTTTATTTCTTGACAATGTCACAGTTTGAATGGAGATTTTAATCTAATCCCACTTCCACAGTATAAATGCTATGGGGAAAATCTATTTGGTTATATGGCTGTTTTGCAGCACCATAGGACAGCTGTCCCCTTCTTCCAAATGTAGAACATTCCTGTTTTTTCCTTATTTTTTTCTTTCTGGGTCTTCATCCATTTGAGGGGAAAAATGGAGGACACACTTTCTGCTATCATTTCATCAAAAGCTTTCAGGATTTAACAATGTGGCCCTAAGAAAAAAAATCAGAAAGCATTCTCACATATCAAAAACTTCTGGGTATTTATGATTACCCATGGCTTCTTACGAAGTTACCCATGGAAGAACCATCTGTTGTGTCAAATTTCAGATAAAAACAAAATGTATTTGGTGTTCATTTTTTTGTGGTAAAAAAACCACGACTGTATTTTCCAGGTGTAACCACAGTGCTCTCAATGACAACTTTGATGATGGGGTCCCGAAAGTCAATGACAAATGCCAATGGTTTCATAAAAGCCATTGACATTTATCTGGGCATCTGCTTCAGCTTTATATTTGGGGCATTGGTGGAATATGCAGTAGCTCATTACATCACATCACAGAAACATTCAGCTAACGAGACCCAAAAGGTAAACCTTGTTCAATCAGATCATGTAGTCGTGAATAAGCATTTTCAGTGAACGGATGAATGTGTGGATAGCTAGAGAGGTATATAGATAAATAATTATACATGGATTTGTTCCCTCTTGGAGTTATGTCAGTAAAACAACGGGAAAGGCTGCATTCAGACTTTAACATTAGACAATGGATCTGTGTAGTTTGCTGCGGGGTGGGGGGTGAGAAGAGCCTGGGTTCTCCTTTCTTCCAAACCAATGGTGTGATTCAATTTTTTTTTACTACTGGTTCAGTGGGGGTGGCTTGGTGGGCATGACTTGGTGGGCGTGGCAGGCAGAGGTGGGTTCCTACCAGTTCACACCTATTTGGTAGAACCGGTTCGTCAAATCTACCGAACCGGTTAGAAGAGG